ACTTGCAGGTTCAAGAACAGAAGTTGTAAGCATTAAAGTCTTGCACAAACAATATTAGCAAAGCTGACAAACTGTTGCATAGCAAACACAGTATGCTAGGGTAGTTGGGAGAAACATTTTAAAATAACTGTTCTGAGGCTTAACTGTAGACTGCTAAGAATCAGTGGTTGTACACAGACCAAACTATACAGTTCTCTGAATGGAAAACACTCTTAAGCCTTTTATTTATCAGAGGTAGCGTGAAAACAGTACTAGAAGATACCAATATTAACTGCAATTTTTAAAAACCGAACAGGAAGGCAATTTATATGCACTCTTTATTAATAATATATGGAAGTATTTTAAATGATAGTTATCTTCCTCTTCCACCTCTACAAAGGCATCAAACATATCTTTCAAACTGACAGAAATATTTTAGTTGAGAGCTATATTTTAGCCTTTTCCAAGACAATATCTCACGAATTTAATTTGATGAATCTTATAATGAAACCTCTAGAAAACCTGCTACTGAGATTTTCTTTAAAAAAATATTTTAAACCACAATACATATGAATGCGTATACACACACATTCCTCTGGTTTCGTTCAGATTTCTTAAGGAGGTGTGATGGTTAATTGTATGTGTCAACTGGCTAGGCTATGATGCCCAGCTGTTTGATCAAACACTAGTCTAGATGCTGTTTTGAAGTATTTACATGTGATTAAATTAGTTGGCCTAAACTAAAAAGGATTATTCTCCAAATTGTGGGTGGGCCTCATCCAATAAGTTGAAGGCCTTAAGAGCAATAAGAATTTTTCCTGGGGTGTATTCTGCCTCCAGAGTATATACGGACATCTTGCCAAAACTCCTCTACTCTTCCTGTTGCCAAACCTATGGATTTTTTAATATTTTATTGTGTTATAGGTGAAAGTTTACACAGCAAATTAGGGTCCGATTTAACAATTTCTATACAAACTGTTCCATGACACTGGTTACAATTTTCACAACGTGACAGCATTCGCATTATTTCCATTCTGTTTGTTCTGTTTCCATTAATCTAGCTTCCCTGCCCCTCCTTGCCTTCTCACCTTTGCTTTATGGTAAATGTTACAGGTTGGTCACATATAGTTGATTGTTTACGGAAGCAAAGTACTCACAGGTGATGTTTGTTTTATAAGCCAATCTGTTATTTGACTGAAAGGTGACCTCCAGGAGTGGCTTCAGTTCCAAGTTTAAACGGTATCTTACGGCAACAGTCTCAGGGGGATTCTCTAGTCTCTATCAGTCCAGTAAGTCTGGCTGTCTTCAGGAATTTGAGTTTTGTTCTACGTTTTTCTCCCATTCTATCTGAGACCTTCTATTGTGTCCCTAGTCAGAATGGTAAACCTATGGATTTTGAGACACAAGACTGCAGGAATCTCCAGCTACTGCCTAAGCTATGGATTTTGGATTTGCCAGCCCCCTACAGTTGCATGAGCCAATTCCTTATAATAAACCCATCTCTGTCTCTCTCTCAAAATACAAACATGGACATATACACACAAAGTCCCTGGATGATGCAAACAGTTATGCACTCAACTACTAGAATAAAAGGCTGGTGGTTCAAACCCATAGGAGCCTTGGAAGACAGGCCTGGCAATCTGCTTCCAGAAAGTCAGAGCCTTGAAAAACCCTATGGAGCATTTCTACTCTGCAAGCATGGGGTCACCATGAGTCAGAATTGACTCAACAGCTACTAACTATATATATACACCCACACACATATATATAGCATATGTATATATATAAATATATATATATAATGAGTTCTGGCAGCACAGTGGTTTAAGCACTCAATTGCTAAACAAAAGGTAGGCAGTTCGAACCCACCAGCCGCTCCACAGTTTAAATATGTGGCAGTCTGCTTCTGTAAAGATTCACAGCCTTGGAAACCCTATGGGGTTGTTCTACTCTGTCCTACAGGGTCGCTGTGAGTTGGAATTGACTCCACAGCAATGGGTTTTGGTTTTTTGTTTGTTTGTTTGTTTATACATACATACATACACACACACACACAGATATATCTTACTGGTTGTTTCTCTAGAGAGCTCTAAAACATGGGTCTAAGCAAAGATTTTTATATGATCGTGGTCTCTCCCTCTTTTTTAACTGCAGTACTAGCATAGCCATTCATATTGCAGTAGTCCTTTGGCAATGATTTCAACAGAAAAGTTCTGAAGAAAATTCATTCAAGCAACACTTTCTGAACAATGCCAAGTACTATGCTAGGTGCTAAGGGAGAAAAGATAAATGAAGCAGGGCCCCTGAGCTCAAAATGCTCACAATGAAAATACAATGACTGTTTTAAGTTCCCACATGACTCTTCCAACCCTAAGGACCAGTACATATGTGTCTTGGCTTAGTGTTATTCAAAGTGGAATAGACGGATGATATATCTATGAGGTCTCTGCTAAAATTTTAAAACGTTTTTTGTTTTCACTTCAGTGATTATCTTAGTGCTATGTGACTTGTGTCTGAGCTTTCATTTACAGTGACAAACACAGCACTACTACTCAATTGTCCAAGTTAATGAGAAAAGAACAGAGCTGTATTTAAGATGTAAACGATGTATCTGTGACTCTAAAGAGTTAAATGACCTCACAGCTTACTCTACAAATAGAGATTTTTGAAAGGTTCAAAAACCGAAAAGTGGTGGAATAATCACAGGGCCCAGGGGGAGTGTGTTTACTTGCCATACTCAAAAGCTCCTGCACTTTAACAATTGTTACCAGATTCTCAATACATTGGAAATTTAGTTTCAGCAAAATACCATGCCACACTGAATCAGTAATTTAGAAGTTTACTGTTTTTTTTTTTTTTAGTTTAGAGTGGTATAAAAGCTATGAAATAGGAGTCCGTATTTATTTTTATGTTTGTACATATTTAATTAATATCTCATTAAAAAGTAGGGCTCTGTATAGTTTTGTTTTCTCTACAAGGGTGTACATACTCAAGGTACAAAAATAGTGACTTAGGTCTTACTCTGTGCAGGGTCTATCAATTTTTCAGAAGCAATAAGTTAAACTACCATAAAACTATTTTAGCTGAATTACTTTAATTTAAAGTTCAAATGGGTGCACCGACAATAATCCAATTTTTTAGGTCATCTAACTGTTCTCCCAAACAGAACAAGTGACTGGCCCTTAGGAAGAGAGAACTGACGCTGCACATTTTCCTAACGTTAAGGCGTTATACACGCTAACGGTACTTAACATCTACAGCCAATCCTCCATTCACGAGGGACATTATACTCCTAACACATATTGGTATTAATAACAGTAGCAGCAAAAACCAAACAACTTGAAATAAAATTTTAATGCAGATACTCATTACAAAAAATCACTCAAGATATCCTTAATATTGTTAAGGGACATAACATTAGACTGTTCAAGTAAAAGCATTTAAACTCTATAAACTAACATTTCACACTTGGGCAACATATTAACAAATCTTATAAAAGACAATTACATAGCACACTACTGTGCAGACATCAAATCTAAGGTTGATTTCGATTTAGGTTAAGTCACCATAGACAGGGACATGGGTTTATTTTTTGGGGTTCCTAAATCACAAGCAATAATGAACACCACAATAAATATTTTACAATAAATAAGGTATTGCTAATATTACTGTAAAGATTATAATCCTTAAAATATATTTTTTTGCCCCCAAAATACATTTTTTGGCAAAGTGTGAAAACTTATTCAATAGAGTTTTTTCACTGGAATATTGCTCCAATAACGTGGTAATTTGACTATTACTTATACTACTGCTGTCTCCTTCTTTTTTTCTTCAGTTACTTTACAAGTAATATTTTAACAGAATCATCCAATTCAGGAAAATTTAAGATGGTTAAGAACATACCGAATGAGTTTAGAACAGTAAACTAATTTTTAACCCAATTAGGAGCATGGGTGCAGTATTAAGCAGAAACCCTTACAAAGTCCAAGCATTAGACCAAGCCCTATTTATGGTAATGACATCTGGTTTTTTATTTGTTTTTTTAGAAAACGTGTTGGTAGCTCTCCATAAACAAGTTAGGAAACAAGATACCGTGGACATACTCAGTTAGCCACACATACCCAGGGAGGGTAGGTCCCCAGAAATAATTATGGTGGAAGGGGCAAGAATATACAGTCTCTATATTCGTAATGTGAGCCATACTGATTTCTGGCATACTTCCCTACATTTGAAATATCAGTTTACAAAATATTACTTTTTCCAAGAAAAATCTGATCAACTTCGTAAAAAAAAAACTTAGTTCAATCTTTTGATTTTTAATCAAGTACCATATGCGCATCGTACAGACTTAACATTTTTGAGCAAACACTGCTAAATACTACACTTTATTAACGTCATTTAAGCCTCACAACAACCATATGAAGGAAGCAAGTACCATTATTCCCATTGACAGATGAGGAAATTGAAGCCCAAAGAGTTTAGTAACTAAGGTCAGAGGATTAAGAAGTCTTGGAACTGAAATTCCAATCCAGGTCTAACTCGTGTCCCTAACAAGAGATACCGCCTCTGGAGTTAACAGCACGCGTACAAGTTAAGTCGGGGAGAGTTCAAGAGAAAAATAAAATTTCTTAATTAAAGTGAAGTTGACAGAAAAACTTACGTTACACTCATAAGGACTGAGTTCTAGATTCTTGTGTATATTTAAGTGAGTAATGCAACACTCCAAGGAGTTTGAAAAGGCAGGTTTCAGGCGTCGTGGAGAACGTTCAAACTCCCAATACTTTGGTGCTAGTAACAAGAGTTATCGTGGGAAGCCAATTTTGGAATGTTTTGACTTCACAGACGAGGCAGGTAGAAACACAAAGCACTGCACCAAGCGCGTCCTGACGGGATTCCAGGGCGCGTCCTTCCCCACGAGGAGGAGCACGCCGCCGCACTACCGCGCCCTCTGGGCCCAGCCGGCAGCAGAGACGGCTCCGGGCCTTCCGGGCTCCCCCGGCCCACTCGCCACACACGCTCACCTTCTGCTCCTCCGCGGAGGCCGCCTCGGAGATTTCCGCGGACATACTGCTCCCTCTGCAGACGAGACGCCGGGAAAAGATGCAATTACCGGGTGGCCGAGGCCATTCGGCCACCGCCGCCGGCCTCAGGCCAGCCCGCCGCCCGCCCCCGCTCTCCGACGCCCGCCGGGGGCCGCCCACGCCCGTGAAAATGGCCGCCGTCTTATGACGACACGGAGCCCCACGGCGGCGGCAGGCGGCCGACCCTACCCGCGGCGGCCCAAGCGCCCCTCCCGCGCCGCTCCCCGACCTACCCAACTCAGCCCCTCCAACTCTGCCACGCCAATGCACTTCCTTTCTTCCTTCAAAGGTCGTGGGCTGCGCCTTACCTCACATCCGCCCGTGACTGCGGGATCCTTCCTGGGAGTTGTAGTTTGTAAGTGGAACCGCCTCTCCACGCTCTTTCGTGCCTTTTGTGGTCCCTGCTGTTCGAGGAACTTTGCTATTTCCACGTCAGCCTCGCCTAATCCTGTTCTCTCAGTTCTTGCTAACGTTAGGGAAAAGTTACTAAAAATAAAATCTACTCCCGACCCAGAAAAACTCCACGAACACAGCAGAGAAAGAAAAGTTTTATTTTTGAATAAGCATTGAACCAGAAAGTGATGCATACCAGGCAATCCGCTAAAGAAATTGCAAAAACAAAAAAATCATATCTTTATATAGCTGAAAAAGATCCTCATGCTGAAGATCCTCATTGCTGTGGAGTCCATTCCGACTCATAGCAGTCCTATAGGACAGACTGAAACTGCCCCATAGGGTTTCCAAGGCTGAAATCTTTCCGCAAGCCGACTGCAACATATTTTTCCTTCTCCCTCGGAATGGCTGGTGGGTTGAAACGGCAGACTTTTCAGTTGTCAGCTGAGCGCTTAACTACTGTGCCATAAGGGCTTGTTACTGAGCCACCAAAAAAACAAACAAAAAACCCAAAACCATTCGGAGGTTTCCAAGGCTGTAAATCTCCATAGAAACAGACAGCCACATCTTTCTCCAGCAGGGAGCCGCCAGTGGTTTGGAACGGCCCATCTTTGGGTTAACAGTCAATGGCGGCTTTACTAAGCCACCAGGGATTGCTAATTTTCCAGTATATATTTTTGGCAGCATACCTGAAGTTTTGCTACTCGCCTTCCAGGAAACTGGGAGGTAGAGATGTGAGCTTCCTTGATGATTGTGAAACCGGACCAAATGGATCCGTGCCCAGCATGCAAGGAGCCAATCTCTCAAACGCTGGTTTTGAGAGTAAGAAAGAGTTTATTTTGCAGGCTAGCAAGCGGGAACTCAGAGGTATCAACCTCAGATTGAGTTCCTTGATTTGAGGAAGCATTTATATTTTATGGGTTTGAGGAATTATACATATTCATATAGGCGTGGAGGGAGTCAGGTGGGTCGAATCTGAAAGTTCTACATATTCATAGTTTCTATTATTACAGGTCAGGGCTAGGACTTGGCACAGAAGCCGCAGATGGACTCTTCGCTTCTGAAATGGGCTCTGCTACTGCAGATGATGTATGCGCGATGATTTTGGCTCTTTGACATGAGTCTTTTCCTTCCTTGGCATGAGTTCTCTTGTGTTATTGAGCATGTGTGGCGGCCCACGGTCGTCTGTCCATCATCTTTGTCTGTTTTATGATTGTCTGACGACTCTGAGCCGGTTAGATCTGGATCAGTCTGGGACTCTCCAGAGAGTCTACAAAATTTGGAGGCAGTGAGTGACATGGCGGGGAGGTGAGTCGAGTGGCCTGATAACTGGTGAAGTACTAATTAATTAGGTGTCCTCCACCTCTAGGGTCCCCTAACAATTACATTTCAAAAGAGATGGCTCCCAGGTCCTTAAGGAAACATCCTTGATTTACATACTTTTCCGAAAGACAAAGATTTTACCATTACAAGTTATCTAAAGTGAATTCTGAAACAACAGGGGAGAATTATTTTGAATAGGGAGAATTAAAACCTCTTATTTTCAATTTGTATTTTTCCTTACACTCTGCAACCATATTGTTGTTAGGTACCGTCTAGTGAGCACTATGTACAACAGAATGAAACACTGCCTCGTCCTGCGTCATCCACACAATCCTTGTTATGCTTGAGCCCATTGTTGCAGCCAATGTGTCAGTCCATCTTGTTAAGGATCTTCCTCTTTTTCACTGGCCCTCTGCTTTACGAAGCATGATGTCCTTCTCCAGGGACTGATCACTCCAGATAACATGTCAAAAGTCTGTGAGACATAGTCTCGCCATCCTTGCTTCTAAGGAGTATTCTGGTTGTACCTCTTCCAAGAACATACAGGCCTTCTTTTAGGTCCTCCAAAGCTTCCTGCTGCCTCCCTCCACAAGCTTCTCCCCATCCCACTTACCCTACTTAACCGCATTCATCCTTCAAGTCTTCAACCCTACATCACTGCTTTAGGAAAGTCTTTTCTGAGTCTCTACACTACGTCAGGTGCACCTCTTAAATGCTATCACAGACAGCTCTGTATATTCCTTCCCAACACACATTGTATCATTTTACAATAACTGCTGTTGATCACGTTATTAATGTTCACCTTTCCTGCTCAGATAAGCCACATCAGGGTAGAGACTTTGTGTATATGTTATACAGTATTTCACTCCCAGAGGCCAGCATTTCGTAGCTATTCCATAAATACCTCATGAAGGAATTCAATTTTCATTGTCTACCTACTACAACCCCGGGGGTCCACCCAAAACTATACTGAAACTGCTGGCACCAAGCTTCTCAATTACTTTCTTAATTACCAAATCCTGTGACTTTATATTTAATTCTCATTATTCTTGACATCTGAATAGCTATTGACAATACATGGTGGTTGCAATGAAGTATCCAGAAACTAGAAAAGATGCTTATCCTGTTATGGATTGAATTGTGTCCCCTAAAAATGTGTATTAACTTGGCTAGGCCATGATTCCCAGTACTGTGGGACTGTCCATCATTTTGTCATCTGATGTGATTTTCCTACGTGTTGCAAATCCTACATCTATGATGTTAATGAGGTGGGATTAGCAATAGGTATGTTAATGATGCAGGACTCAATCTTCAAGATTAGGCTGTGTTTTAAGTCAATCTCTTTTGAGATATAAAATAAGCCAGCAGATAGACATGGGGACTTCATACTACCAAGAAAGCAGTGCCAGGAGAAGAGCACGTCCTTTGGTCCCAGGGTTCCTGAGTGAAGAAGCTCCTAGACCAGGGGAAGATTGATGACAAGGACCTTCCTCCAGAGCCGACAGAGAGAAAGCCTTCCCCTGGAGCTGACACCCTGAATTTGGACTCTAGCCTACTAGACTGAGAAAGTAAATTTCTCTTTGTTAAAGCTATCCACTTGTGGTATTTCTGTTATAGCAGTACTAGATAACTAAGACCCTCCAGGTGTTAAACTAGAAAAAAGCCACAGGAAATGGAAGCAATTTGGGAGGGGGAGAAAGATAATTAAAAGACTCTAAGTGACTGATAAAGAATTTGGAAACATCAAAACTCAACCAGGGTTTCTGGGTAGTTCCTCAGAGAGGAAGAATTGTACTAGGATTGCAGCTTGAATTACAAAAACAATTATAGTGCACTCCTTTTGGGAAAAGTAGGAGTTTGTCAGCTAAAGAACTATTCAAAATAAAAAGTCCAAGAGGTGCTGACTCTTTGACAAGGATATCCCTTGAGAGTGCCTCAAGCTGGGCCAGCTGAGAAACTTCATAAGATCAACTAAATATTTGTACTCATCTCATGCTTATCTATGAAAATTTGCCTTCCCTTTAAGCAGAATTAAATGGAGAAAGGAGAATGTACTAGTTAGGCTGATTGGAGCATCTAACAGTTGTATTTTTATTAATAAACTGGCATTCAAGTATATGTCTTATATCAATATATTTGAGAGCTCAGGTTAAAATCGACACACATAGAAAATCAGTCTATGTAACCTTGGGTAAAGAAAATCTGTTACTGAAAGACAGCAACACTTGCAGGTTTGAATTTCTGGGGAGTACACTTGGGTCAATGATGTACTCACCAAGGTCAATGCCCCTTTGGGGAGATGTGTCTGGGAAGACATCCTTCCCCAAACGACACCCCTCTGCATCACCATGAAACATGTTCCATTTTAAAACTGCAAACTCTAGGTCACCAACACCCTATTTTTCAAATTTCTCTTGACCCCTAGAATACCACCCTCTGGTGGTTCCCCTCCACCTTCTCTGGCCATTCCTTCTCAAATTTCTTTATTGAGTCTTTGCCTGCTCTTAATGAGAGGGTTCTACTGGTTCACATTCTCTTCTAGTTTTATGCACTCTTTGGGAGATCACTTCCACCTGCACAACTTCAGCTATGATCTATATATTCTAGATCAGTGTATTCAATAGAACTTTTTGCCATGATGGAAATGTCATATATCTGTGCTGTCCAATACAGTAGCCACTAGCCATATTGAGCCTTTAAAATGTTGACTAGTGCAACTGAAGGGAATTTTTTTTTTTTTTAGCGTTCTTTAAAATATTTTTGTTGTACTTTAGATGAAGGTTTACAGAACAAATAGTTTCTCATTCAACTGTAGACATATTGTTTTATGACAATGGTTAACAACCCTACGACATGTCAACACTGTCCCTTCTCAACCTTGGGTACCCTATTACCAGCTTTCCTGTACTCTCCTGCCTTCTAGTGCTTGTCCCTGGACTGTTGTGGCCCATTAATCTCGTTTTGTTTTATGGGGCTGTCTAATCTTTGGCTGAATGGTGAACCTCGGGAGTGACTTCATTACTGAGCTAAAAGCTTGTTCGGGGGCCATACTCTTGGGGTTTCTCCAGTCTCTGTCAGGCCAGTAAGTCTGGTCTTTTTTTGGGAGTTAGAATTTTGTTCTACATTTTTCTCCAGCTGTGTCCAAGACCCTCTGTTGTGATCCCAGTCACAGCAGTCGGTGGTAGCCGGGCACCATCTAGTTGTACTGGACTCAGTCTGGTGGAGGACATGGTAGTTGTGGTCCATTAGTCCTTTGGACTAATCTTTCCCTTGTATCTTGTTTTTTTCATTCTCCCATGCTGCCGAAGTGGTGAGACCAGTAGAGTATCTTAGATGGCTGCTCACAGGCTTTTAAGATCCCAGATGCTACTCATCAAGGTAGAATGTAG